TGTAGGAATTCAAACTTCATACCCTGCTAACAAACTTAATATATTGTAAAGACGACTCTGCAGGAGGTTTTGAGTAGTATGCCAGCAGGCACCAGCTTCGCTTCCTTCCATGTGCATGCTTATGTGACTTCTGAAGCATGGATGCTGGGTACGTAGTTTAAATTAAAGTTAGACCTTTGGCCACACACTGAAGTGTGATTTTGTTTGTTCTGTTGTTTTTTTTTTTTTCAATAAACCATTTTCTATTTATACCAGTTCTTTAGTTTATTTGCTGTCTCTGTCTTTATTCCAGTTCAGAAGAAAAGTGGGTGTTGCAGAGGGAGTCTTATGTTCACTGCTCTGCTTACAGCAGTCGTACTATCGATGTTCCTGTGTCAGTCTCTGTGGCAGGTGTTATGAACAGTACTGACTGGGCACAGTCTTGCACTTTGAAGAATAGTGGGCATTTTCTGCAATTCTGTGTTCTTATCTAGACTAACATTTGTTGTAGCAACTGCAGCTAATGCTTCTCTGAGGGTAAACCAGTAGAGGTGGGAGACAAAGCTGCCTGAGCTCTGGTCCTAGCTTCAGGAAAGTAGACAATATGATGGTTACCTGCTCAGATGCTTAGTGTCCACCCAGGAAGAGATTAACCCAAGCAGTTATGAGTGCCTCAAATACAGCATTGGATATAAAGAGGTACTTTTGCAGTTGAAGACTGTAACCTGTGTGTAGGACTGTTACTCAGGTTGTGTGGTACATGCCAGTATAGTATCCTACAGAGACTGCTTTTGTTACACCAAGTGTTGCCATTGTTGAAAATCCTAACTGCTCATATTAGGAGGGGTATTTTGTTGAGGCAGCAGAGTGAGCTGCAGCTTTTACCTCAAGTAGATGGATAAGCTTTACTTGCTGTCTACAACACTTTTTTTTTTTTTTTTTGTACTGTGCTCATAAGAGTACAGTGTGGATATAATTGGGCCTAGCACCACACACACACCTCACACAGTACTACCTGCAAGAGTGGTGGGAGGTGGCTGTTAAAACTGGGGACAGGTAGGATGACCACAGGGCTTTAGCTTTATTTATAAAGCAGTAGCCTCTACTCATGTGCATCATTATTAAAGTACTGGTGGGACATGCTGGCTGTCTCCTGCATTTGCACTGTGCAGTTTTCTCTGTAGAATTCTGGAGTGAAGCCCTAGAAGAGAATAACCTGTGGCAAATACCTAGGTCTGAAAGATTTGTCTAATACTAACTTATTTGTTGTTTACATTAAAACAAGTGCATACGTATGTGAGTTGTGTGTGTATATGTGTATATATATATATATACAGAAAAAAATACTTCAAACTTGATCTGGGGTCAGTTCTTGGAATAAATTGCAAACACTGCTGTTTCACTCTCCTCAAGGGAAGCTGCATTAGCAGCTTCAAAGTGTCTTTTTCTGTCGTGAATTGCCTGCTACTTGAAAGATCTCTTGCCAGGGGATTCGCCTTCTCCTCTTTCTCAAGATGGCAGCACCATAGCAGTTAAGGGTTGAAAGCATAATGAAGATGCATTGTGGCAAGACAATAGCTAAGGAGACAACAGCAGAAGTACTCTGGATGGTAATTTATTAGCCCTATATGCTTTATCAAATAAATGCCACAGATACACTTGAAAAGTGTCAAGGTATTCACCTTGCTTTGTTATTAGACCATTGCCATTCTTTGGTTTCAAGTTGTTAATTTCTTGTACACTTAATGCCGATGTGTCTGTCCTATAAAAATTAATTAGAAAGATATTCTCTGCTGTGAATTGCCCGTTGAAAGGTTGAAAGTAGTTGCAGATTTCAGAGGGCTGCCAAGCTGTTGGAAGTTTTCCTTCCTGTGCTATATGACTTTTATGCATAGAGGGATGGGGGAGCAGGACCTTGTTCTGGTATTCAGTGCTACTGTTCTTACCAGTTTATCCTTGCTTGCCTTTTGTCTCTTTGGGCTTTACCTTCTACAACTAACTTTCACTGTAAGAACTATTTCTATGGAAAGAGGTAGGCTGCCCAATCCACCACACCCCCCATAATAAAGGGGATGCAGGATAGACCTCTTACACTATCCATTTTCCAGAACTACTAATAATGCTGTTTTTCCTCTGCACCTGAAAGACAACAGTGCTTGCTGATAGGAGGGGCTGCAGTAGCTGAACAAGTCTGAAGGGTAACCACAAATGAAGAAAAGCAGACACAAGTTTTTACTATCTTGCTGACATGTCTCAACACCTTGACCAAGACCTTTTTACTGATGTTGAGCTGATCTACGCTCCCTTTCCAAAAGGAGGTCATACCTCTCATGAAGAGGACTTTATATCTGTTAAAAATCTTTTCCTTGTCCTCTTCCAGCTAGAGCTAGCAGCGCAATGTAACAATGAGGATACCTTCCCTCATACAAGGTTTTCTTCAGAAGCTGCTCCTGGCATCCAGAAGCCTGTGTAATGAGTAGCACTATGGTCTCTGCTTACTACAGCAATATTTCTCACTTGGCAAAAGGCCAGATTTGCATCTAGATTGAGTAAAGGAGTGATTTAGATGTGCAGGTTCACTCAAGAGAAGAATTTACCAAATAGATACAAACTAGACAGAAGCATTTTTGTAGGTCAGTTGCGTGAGCCAGTTCACCATCCTCTGGTGGTGCGTAATCCCAGTAATGTTAAAGGTTTGCCTGTGAGAGGACATTACTGCTTTTATGGAAACACCTCTACTGCCTGCAGCTTGTCTGCAGCATGGTGAGAACAGCTGTTGTATGGCAACAAGCATTCTGCTTGGCTGTCAGTCCAAAGCTCTTCAATTTGCAAGCAATTTGAGAAAATTTGCTTCTGGTTTTCTTGTAGAATGGTATCTCAGTCCATGAGCAGACACACTGCCATAAAAATTATAAAAAAAAAGCAGGTTCTTCATTATTTTAGGCTTACAAGCAAGTGTACTGTTTCTTAAAAGTCTGTCTCACCTGCAACATGTGGACATTGGTGAGGAAGTCCCAGCACCGCTACCCACGCCTCGCTCCCCCCATCAGTAGTGGAAAGCCTACTGACATCAGTCATGCACAAATGCCATAGCTGGATTCTGGGATTTGGTACTGGTGTCACACGAGAGTAAGAAAAGCAGTTAGGACAATGTGAACCCCTAACTTGGTAGTAGATAAAAATCACCTGGATTTGGGTTACACAATGGTAATTTTGTATAGAAAGTTTCCCTGTTGAGGAACTCTTGCACTGAATGTAACTGTGACCCATTGCAGGATGATGTATCACGAGGTTCAGATGAAATTCTGTGAACCTTTTCCACACAAGTCCAATCTATATATATTAAAATTTCAGGTAATTAGGAATAACATTGCTTAATTAACTTACCCAGAACAAATTTATCATTGTTCTACTGTACAGCTATTCCACATTACCAACACCAAGAAGCTTATTCTGCTGTAAACTATCAGGAAAAGAGAATGACCATGGTATGTCCTCCTGGAGAGAGATTGCAAAGCATTCCAGGATTTCAAAACTGTTACCTGAGCTGCACCTCTTCTGTCCTGATGTTTTCAGGGTGCATGCTTTGAAGGAAGGGCTTAAAATTTCTTTAGCCAACCAAGAACTGAAAGGGTAACTTGATTTCCACAGCGAGAAATCAAGACAGACTTGTATCCCAGCTGAAATATGTGAAATTTCACAGCTAAAATGAGACATTCTGTCTCCTTCTTCATGCTTACCTGAAAGCTGTTCTAGAGATCTTTCCAGGTTTTTCCAGAGACCAATAGCCTGTGTTTCACACTTCACCTCAGTTATTAAGGGCTTCCAGTTAAAAGATAAAAAAAAAGGATAATTGTACAGCACTGTAAATTTGGCATTAATTATTTGAGGAAGATGTCTAAGAGCATCACTTTTAAGCCGAGAACATTCGTCTCCCTTAGGAATGCTTCACATTGCTGTTTAGTACCTTGCATGAGAGATGTAGTAAAATATTGGAGCTTGTGTTACTGTGCAGTTCTGCAGTGTGTGCATGACGGGTTTCTTTGCCTCAAGCTCCCCCGAGTAGGGAGCGATTCATCTCTAGGAGGCTAATTTCTTACAGTTGAGTGCAGGATTTTAATAAATAAACCCAAAAGTGAAGTGCCCTTTTGAACAGCCCTCATATCAGCAGGTAATATCAGTAATTTAGGAAACTCAAACCGTTCAACGTTCCAGCCACTGTATTGTGATCAGTGCTGGATTTTTTTTTTTATTTTTTAAAATACGTCGTAAGTTCTCTCTTTTGCTCTAATTAAGACCTTACAACACCACTGAGAAATTTTAACCCCATAATACCAAAGATACATTATTTGAAGGAGAAGTAGTCAAAATACTGAATAAAAATATATTTGATTGCTGAATTTATGAATCATTTGCACCAGTGGGAACAAACAAAATATTTTCTACAGTAACAGATGCTGAACCATCCTCTCCTGAATGAAGACACAGAGGGGAGCTTTGAAGAGTGAAAAAAAAAAAAGTCTCTGAAAAGATTCCCTTATAGATACCTTTTCCCTTC